GTGGGTGGGTGGGTGGCTAGCTGCTGTGGCTAGCTGAGGCCGATGAATGGTTAATGGATTCATAAAGAGCTCGGCTAGCTAGCTGTGGCGCTAGCTAGCTGTGTAGCCAATTGGAATTGCAGCTAGCTAGCCAATGCCTGGCTAGCTAGCAAATAGCTAGCTGGCAAATAGATAGCTAGCTGCAGGAGCAGCAGCACTGCTGCTGCTATTATTTTTGTGCTTCGAGCAACCGTTTCACTTTAAGTAAGATGAGACAAACCACAAACCCTAAATTAGGGTTTACAAAACACCAAACCCCAATTCAGGGGCTAGCAAAACAGCGGTATCTTCCCTGCTAGTGCTGCAAATACTAGGGTTTAGGGTTTAGGGTTTGGGGCTTGAGAGGCACGAGCAATGTCTAAACTCGAATTCCAAATGCGGGTTTAGGGTTTAGGGTTTGGCCTAGGGTTTAGGGTTTGGGAGGCACGACTCAGTGGCTAAACTCCAATCTGAATTAGGGTTTAGGGTTTGAGAAACACAACGTAGTGGCTACACTCTGATCTGAGATTAGGGTTTAGGGTTTAGGGTGGTTTAGGGTTTAGGGCTTCAGAGGCACCACGCAGTGGCTACATTCTCATGTGAAGTAAGGGTTTAGGGTCTAGGGTTTAGGGTTTACGGCATGAAAGGCACGACACAGCTGCTACTTAGGGTTTAGGGTTTAGGCTTTAGGGTTTGGGCATGAAGCATTATCTGCCCTCTAATGGAAGTCTGGGCTGCTGCTTTTGTAAACCCTAAACCCTCGTTTCCTGAAAACCGCCAATTAGGGTTTAGGGTTTAAGCTGCATTCTGGAAAGGGCTTATAGTTTGGACACAAATAGTTTGCTTCTCTGTCTAGGGTTTAGGGTTTAGATGCAATACGTGAACAGCTTCGAGGGTTTAGGGTTTAGGGTTTAGGGTTTAGGGTTTAGGGTTTGGGTGGTCCAGTCTAGGCCCTTGCTTGCCGCGAAGGGTGTAAGGTTTGCGATCATTCGCAGCCTTTGCCTTTTTTGTGTAACTAAGATTTAGGGTTTAGGGTTTAGGGTTTAGGGTTTAGGGTTTAGCGGCTGGAAGAACCCTGTGCTGTGGGGCCCATGGGGGCCTAGGGGGCCCCGAGGGGCCCCCTGGGGGCCCCCCGGGGGCCCTCGGACTTCTTTGTTTGCTTTTCTGGTATGAAAACATTAAAAAGATGAAATAAATGAAGATTATTAAGTAATAAGTTCAAAATAAAACCCTAAACCCTAAACCCTAAACCCTAGTTTCTCCTGGCCAGCGGGGGCCCCCCAACCCGCCAAACCCCCAGGGCCCCTCCTGCCTATGGGGCCAAACAGCAGCAGCAAACAATCGAAGGGGGCCCCCGGGGGGCCCCCCAAGAGGCCCAAGGGGGCCCCCAAGGGGTTTAAGGGGGCCCCTGGGGGCCCCCAGGGGCCCCGCAAAGGGTCAGGGGGGCCCCCTGGGGGCCCCCAGGGGGCCCACAAGGGTACTAGGGGGGCCCCCAGAGACCATCAGGGGCCCCCGGGGGCCCCCCAGAGTAAGAAAAGAAAGGAGGGCCCTTTGGCAGGCCGTGATGGCCTAAAGGAGAAGTCGAAAGCTAAGGAAAGCCCGGATGGCAGCAGCAGCAGCAGCAGCAGCAGCAGCAGCAGCAGGGGGAGCAGCGGGAAGGTGCCGCAGTGGGCGTTGGAGGCTGTTCGCGCTGGGAAGGCAGCAGCAGCAGCAGCAGCAGCAGCAGCAGCAGCACGGGCGAAGCTGCCAGCAATACCGCACCTGACTCTGGCGTTAGCAGCAGAAGCAGCAGCAGCAGCAGCGCAGCAGCAGCAGCAGCAGCAGCACCAGCAGCAGCAGCAGCAGCAGCAGCAGCAGCCGCAGCAGCAGCAGCAGCAGCAGCAGCAGCAGGGGCTGGGGGCGGTGCGGGCGCTGGACCTGCGGGGCCGGGGTGTCTGTACAGCTGAGGACCTGGGTCCTTTGAAGCAGCTCGAAAAGGCGGATTTTTCTTTCAACAAAATAATTAATTTTAATTTTTTAAATTTTAATTTTAATTTAAAAGAATTAAAACTCTGCAGCAATTCCATTTCCAGCCTCGGGGGGGCCCTCGGCGGCCTCGGCGGGCTCCGCCTGCTCGACCTCCGCGCCAACAAGGCGAGTTTGGCTCCTTTTCGGGTCCAATTAGTTCCATTTAATGCCATTTAATTCATTTTATTGAATTAAATGAATTATTTTATTGAATTTAATGCTTTTTTCCTTTTTTTATTCTTTTTTTCAAACAAAAAGAATCCAAAATTCCAAAAAAACACAAAAAATGGACCCACAGAAAAAAAGATCTTCGCCAGGGCCTCGGGGGCCCCAGGGGGCCCCCAGGGGCCCCCAGGGGCCCTCGCTAGCAGCCCTCTAATCCACGCTATTAGGGTTTAGGGTTTAGGGGTTGCTGCTGAAAGCGAAAAACAGCTGAATCAAACAATCAATTGCTTTAATTCAATTTAATTAATTTAATTTAATTAATTTAACTAACTCAATTAATTTAATTAATTTAATTTAATTTAATTTATTTATTTTATTTTATTTTATTTTATTTTATTTTATTTTACTTTATTTCTTTTTCAGGAAGAGTCCCTTTTGGGCAATACCTGACGAGAGTGGAAGTCCTCAGTAAGAAATACTTTTTTATTTTTTTTAATTTAATTTAATTTAATTTAATTTAATTCAATTTCTTTTTTATTTTTATTTTATTTCTTTCAATTTTTGTTTTTATCTTTATTTTATTTCTTTACTTTGTGTATTTATCTTTATTTTTATATATCTATTTACTTTTAATGTTTGCAATTTGCTTGTATTTGTTTCATTTATTTATTTTCATTATTTTATTTTTGTTTTCATTTTTTATTTTTATCTTTTTTATCCTGTTTTTTATTTTTTATTTTTATTTAATTTATTTCCACTTGTGATTTTATTTCTCTTCTTTAATTCTTTTTTCCTTTTTAATCTCCTTTTACCTTTTTTTTGTTTTTCTCTTTTATTTTATTTTTCCTTTTTATCTTTTTATTTTTTAATTGTAATGTCGTGTGTCTCTTTTTATCTTTTTTATTTTTTTGCTTTTCATTTGTCTTGAATTAATTAATTAATTAATTAATTACGTACTACTATTATTAATTAATTAATTAATTAATTAATTAATTAATTAATTAATCGTTTAAAACTAACTAATTTAATTATTTACTTTATTTTTATTTTATTTTCATTTTTATTTTTATTTTTATTTTTATCTTTTTGTTTAGTTCTTTCAAGAAACCAAATCACTTCTTTTGCCCATCCCCCTCAGCCGCTGCCAAATCTCAAAAAACTTTCTCTTTCTGAAAACCAGCTCAAGGTAAACCCTAAACCCTAAACCCTAAACCCTAAGCCCTAAACCCTAGGGCCTGCGTTCCAGGCAGCAGCTGTTTAGGGCGCTTGTTCCGAGGCAGCTAGCTAGCTAGCTGGCTAGCTAGCCAGCTGCACTAGCCAGTTAGCCACTTAGCTAGCTAGCTAGCTAGTTAGCTAGCCAGCCAGGCCTCTAGCTAGCTAGACACCGAGCCAGCTAGCCACCCAGCTAGCTAGGGGGTTCGGCAACTAGCAAGCTAGCTAGCCAGCTAGCCATCCAACTAGCCAGCTAGCCAGGGAGCTAGCTAGCTGTCCAGCCACTCAGCCAGCTAGCCGGCTAGCTACCCGGCTATCTAGCCAGCTATTCAGCTAGCTACCCAGCTATCCAGCTAGTTAGCCAGCTATCCAGCTAGCTATCCAGCCACCCAGCTAGCTATCCAGCCATCCAGCTAGCCAGCTAGCCATCCAGCTAGCCAGCTAGCCAGCCAGCTAGCCAGCTAGCCAGCTAGTTATCCAGCCATCCAGCTGGCCGGGTAGGCAGCTAGCTAGCCAGCTAGCCAGCTAGCCAGACAGCTAGCTAGCTAGCTAGCTAGCTAGTTCTCGGGGGTTTGCGTGCAGCACTTTCCGTTTAGCGAGCGTTTGAGTTCTCTTTTTGAATTGCGATTGGCGAAAAACAAAATAATTAAATTGACAGAAGAGTTGAGGTGTATGCCCAGCTTGGGCATTCTGGACTTGGGCCACAACCTCCTCTCTTAATTAAATTGACAGAAGAGTTGAGGTGTATGCCCAGCTTGGGCATTCTGGACTTGGGCCACAACCTCCTCTCCACCCTCCAGTAACAAACCCTAAACCCTAAACCCTAAACCCTAAACCCTAAACCCTAGGCCCTAGTGAGCCCTAGGGAGCAGCTGAGGGTGGAGTAGCTTTCTCAACGGAGCGGGGGGAGCGCAGGGGGACCGCAAGGACAGGGTTTGGGGTTTAGGGTTTAGGGTTTGGGGTTTAGGGTTTAGGGTTTGGGGTTTAGGGTTTAGGGTTTAGGGTTTAGGGTTTACTGCAGGGATATAAAGCCTGTGGGGCCCCACTTGAAGATTACTCAAGTTAATTTCCTTGGAAACCCAGCGCTTGAAAAGGAAGGGGTTAGTTTTTAATTTTTTTTTATATTTTAATTTTATTTTTAATTTTACTTTTTATTTAATTTGATGTTTTAATTTGACTTAATTCAAGTTTTTAATTAGATTATTTATTTGTCTTCTTTCATGTCATTCAATTGCCTTTCTTTCCTCCTTTTTTGTTTTCTTTTTAAATGAAAAATCCATTTAATTTAATTTAATTTAATTTAATTTAATTTAATTTAATTTAATTCATTTTCTTTTCTTTTATTCAGGAACAAGTAAAAGCTTATTGTCTTTCTTCTTTGCCTTCTTTAAAAATTTATAACACAAAACCTTTAATTCCAAAAGGCCCTTCCAAACTCAAACAAATCCTCAACAAAATCCACTTCAACCCCGGGGGCCCCCCGGGGGGGCCCCCCGGGGGGCCCCCAAAAGGGTCCTCAGGGGGGCCCCCCGGGGGGCCCCCAAAAGGGTCCTCAGGGGGGCCCCCGGGGGGGCCCCCAGAGGGGCCCGCACGGAAGCCCTCAAAAGGGTCCACAGGGGGGCCCTCAGGGGGGCCCCCTAAAGAGAACTTGGGGGGCCCCACAGGGGCCCCCCAAGGGGCACGGGGCCCCAAAGAGGGGCCCCTAAATAGGGGGGCCCCCCAAGGAAGCAAAGAGGGTCTTGGGGGCCCCCCTGGAAAGAAAAGAAAAAGAGAAAAGGAAATATTCGAAGATAAAGAAGATAAAAATAAAAAGGAAAAAAGACAAAAAAGAGAGTTAAAGGAGATAGAGAAAAGAGGGGAAAAGAATGGAGAAGAAGAAACAATTAAAAGAATTAAAGAAATAAAAATAAAAACTAAAAAAAATGAATTCAAAGAAACAGCAGCACAAATAGAGCAACGTGAAGCGAAAATGAAAAAGAAGCTGCAGCGGGAGCAGCAGCAGCAGCAGCAGCAGCAGCAGCAGCAGCAACAGCAACAGCAGCAGCAAGAGTCGGGGTCTCTACAGAAAGAGGGAAAGAAAGCCAAGAAGAAAGTGAAGCAGCAGCAGCAGCAGCAGCAGCAGCAGCAGCAGCAGCAGCAGCAGGAAGCGGACCCTGCCGCTGAAGCTGGCCCCGAAGGCAGCAGCAAAAAGAAAAGGAAGAAGAAGCAGCAGCAGCAGCAGCAGCCCGACGCCCCTGCTGCTTCTCAAGACCTTGACGCCAGCAGCAAGCAGCAGCAGCAACAGCAGCAGCAGCAACAGCAGCAGCAGCAACAGCAGCAGCAGCAACAGCAGCAGCAGCAGCTTTCGGTCTTCAGTCGCACGGATGTTTTAAAGAAGCTGGAAACCCTAGCAGCAAACAGGGCGGGCTGGCTTGGGGAGCCGCAGCAGCAGCATTCTCCCGAAGAGTCTGCTTGGGACTAGCTAGTCAGCTAGCTAGCTAGCTAGCCAGCTAGCTAGCTAGCTAACTAGCTAACTAGCTAGCTAGCTGGCTAGCTGGCTAGGTGGCAGAATACCTAGGGCCCGCATACCGGTAGGCGCGAAATTGGCCTTCAGTGGCCCACGTCCACTAGCTTTACAGCTAGCTAGCTAGCTAGCTAGCTGCCTAGCTAGCTAGCTGGCTAGCTAGCCGGTTAGCTGGCTAGCTAGCTAGCTAGCCAGCTAGCTGGCCAGCAAGTTAGCTAGCTGGTAGTTCGTGGGGGTAGCCGTTGCAGCGTCCAGAGGAGGGCTAGCTAGCTAGAAAGAAGAAAGTTCTGAGTTTGAGACTCTGGAGTTTTAACTTGGGTTTTGTTTAGGGGTGTACATACACCCGAAGCCCGGAGCCGTCCGCGCGGCGGGCGCTGCTGCTGGGGTGTACAGACACTGGGAGGGTGTGGGGCGCCGCGTTCGCCGCAGCGGGCCCCTTTTTTGGCGGAATTTTCTTTTATTTTTGAATTAATTTGCAAAAATAAAATAATTTAAATGAAAAGAATTGAAAAAGGAGAAAAATCCGCAAATGTGAGGTGTCCGTACACCCCGCGGCTCGCGGGGGCCCCGACCGCTCGGGCTTGGGTGACGAGTTTCGGGAGTTTTTGCCTCTTTGTTGGAATTAAAGGAATTAAATGGAATTAAATTTAGTTTTTTCAAATTAAATTTGTAAAAATAATTAAAATAAGTCCATTTAAGAGAAAAAAGAGGCAAAACGCGAAAGCCGCGCCGATCCTCCGGGGCCCGATCTGTCTTTAACCCTTTCTGGCGGCAAACCCTAAACCCTCGGCCCGCGCCCTAAACCCCAAACCCTAAACCCTAAACCCCAAACCCTAAACCCTAGCCGGGCGGCCGGCCTGGGGCAGGAGCCTGCTGATTTTGTGGCGGGGCAGCGGCGGCGGGCGGCCTGCTGCGCCTCGAGGGTTTAGCTAGGGTTTAGGGTTTAGGGTTTAGGGTTTAGGGTTTGGGGGAATGGGGCCGCCGCTGGAGCTGCCGAGCGGGCAGGTGGACGCAGCCACGCTGCTGCTGCTGCTGCTGGTGGTTTTGCTGCTGCTTGTCTTTGAATTTAGTTCTTTTTTTTCTCCTTTTTTGGCCAGAAAACTCACTCACCTTTCAATGGGCTTTTGCATTTTGCTGCTGCTGCTGCCCGAGACCTGCAGCAGCCCGCAACACGCTAAATTAGCGGTTTGCACTGTCGCCTTCGCCGCCATTTCCCTCTGCTTCCTCAGGCCCTTCAGGTCCCAAGCCCCAAACCCTAAACCCTAATTTAGGGTTTCGCACTCCCGCCGCCGCCGCAGCCCCCAGCAGCGAAACCCGTTTAGGTTTTATGCCCTAGGGTTTAGGGTTAAGGGTTTAGGGTTCCGGGCCTAGGGTTCCGGGCCTAGGGTTTAGGGTTTAGGGTTTGGGGCCTAGGGTTTAGGGTTTAGGGTTTAGGGTTTAGGGTTTGTGTTGCTTGCAGGTTCGGGAGTTTCGGAGACAAAGGCATAATAATATTTAATGTTTTGGTTTTGGTTTTTGTTTTCTTCGATTTAGATTTTGGCTTTTTGGCCCCCACTTTCATTGCAGACCCTTTGGGGGCCATTGTGGGCAGGGCCGTGAGTTCTCCCAAGTGGATAGGCGACAAAACGGTAGGGTTTAGGGTTTAGGGTTTAGGGTTTAGGGTTTAGGGTTTGGGGTTTGGGGTTTGGGGTGGCGGGTTGGGTTCTTGGCTTGGGGCTGGGGGTTTAGGGCTTCGGGTTGGCGCTCTGTGGCGGTTCCCCTGCCGTTCGGGCGGCGTCTCAGCCGCGATCTAGGGTTTAGGGTTTAGGGTTTAGGGTTTAGGGTTTAGGGTTAGGGTTTAGCGTTGAGGGTTTAGGGTTTGTAGCCGCACAGCCTTGGAACCCCGCGTCTTTTGGCGGGTCTTTGGCCTGCGTTTCCCGCGGGCTGCCTTAAACCGCGGCTCCAGGGTTTAGGGTTTAGGGTTTAGGGTTTAGGGTTTAGGGTTTAGGGTTTAGGGTTTCGCAGGTGGCGGGCTCTGCGGCGGTCTTCCTGGGGAGCTTCGTGGGGGCCTTCCGCGTGGGGGCCCCCCTGGCCCGCCTGGGGGTCGCGCTGGGCTGTACCCTTTTGGAGGCCCTGGGGGGCCCCCTGGACAATTTCTTTTTGAGTTTGCCTCTTTTGGCTTACTACTGGGCCCTCACCCAGGCCCGCCGCCACGGGCTCCCCTTTCCAGCTAGCTAGCTAGCTAGCTAGCTAGCTAGCTAGCTGGCTGGCTGGCTGGCTGGCTGGGTGGCTGGCTGGCTGGCTGGCTGGCTGGCTAGCTAGCTAGCTAGCTGGCTGGCTGGCTAGCTAGCTAGCTGGCTGGCTGGCTGGCTGGCTGGCTGGCTGGGTGGCTGGCTGGCTAGCTAGCTAGCTAGCTGGCTGGCTGGCTGGCTGGCTGGGTGGCTGGCTGGCTAGCTGGCGGCTCGGGGGCGTGGCTGGCTAGCGGGGCAGCTAGCTAGCCAGGTGGCTAGCTGGGCAGCTGGCGGGCTCGGTGGCTAGCTGGGCAGCTAGCTAGCTCGGTGGCTAGCTGGGGGGCTGTTTGTCCTCTTTTTTGGCTGGCTGGCTATTTGGCCAGCTAGCCATGTCGCTAGCTAGCTAGCTAGCTAGCTGGCTGGCTGGCCAACGCGCTGCACGGCGAACGAGCCCGACAGATGCTTGACCACCTGGCCAGCCAGCAAGTGGCTAGCTGGCTAGCTAGCCAGCTAGCTAGCTAGCTAGCTAGCTAGCAAGTCCGCTGAGTGGCTAGCTATCTGCCGAGCTCCCTGCTGTGACTTGAGGTCACACGCTAGCAAACGCCAGCGAGCCAGCTAGCCAGCTAGCCAGCTAGCGAGCTGGCCACCTAGCTAGCTAGCCAGCTAGCGAGCTAGCCACCTAGCTAGCTAGCCAGCTAGCTGGCTAGCCAGTCAAAACGCTTGCTCAGGACGGAAGTATCTGCTTGCGGCTCCCCTTGGCCGGCCAGCTAGCCAATTTGTTTATTTGCTGCTAGCCAACGAGCCAGCTAGCTGGTTAGCTAGCTAGCTGGTGAGCTAGCTAGCTGGTTAGCTAGCTAGCTGGTGAGGTAGCTCGATGTGCAGCCAGCTACTGGCAATCTGCAGCAGCGTGGCGCCATTCGTATTTTTAACTCGGTGACCGGCTGGCTAGCTAGCTGGCTGGCTAGCTAGCTGGCTAGCTAGCTAGCTAGCTAGCTGGCTAGCTAGCTAGCTAGCTTTCGCTGGCTTCAGGCGGCAGAGGTAGTGGGTCGTGTCTGGCTTAGGGCCTTTGAGGGAATTCGGAAAATGGATTTTGTGATTATTCGCTGAAAAGCATTTTTTGTGATTTTGAAAAAAATTAAATTTTCTTTTAATTTGCTTTTGGAAAAAAGGGTAGAGAGAGAGTGGGGGGCCCCCAGGGGGCCCCCCGGTTTGGGGGGCCCCCACGTTTAAGTACCCTTTAGGATTTGAGCAGCAGCGGAAATAAATTAAAAATGAAAATAAAAAACAAAAAGAATGAAAAGGAAAAGACAGAAAGAGGCGGAAGGCTTGAGGTGTACAGACAGGGTCACTTGCGTGCTCGGAGGTGGGGAGCGGTGGGGTGTACGTACAGCTGGGAAGGCGTGCAGGTGGAAATGGGAGTTGAAAAGGGAAATAAATTGTTTTATTTAATTAAAAGGGAGTTGAAAAAGGAAATAAATTGTTTTATTTAATTTAATTTGGAGTTTTAATTGGGGTTTGGGGTTTGAAAGAGGTGTATAGACACCGCAGCAGCAGCGGTGTCTATACACCGTCCGCAGCAGCGCCGCAGCCTCTGGCTTTGCCTTTTCTTCGGAATTAATGAATTAGAAAAGTAAATTAACTTTATTTAAATATAAATATTTATTTATTTCTCAAAAAGAGGACAGAGGGCTTCCCCTCCGCCTCTCGCTGAGCGCGCCGGACCACCGGTCCACACCTCGCCGCTTCAGGTGTACGTACACCTCAGCATTCGACCCCGCCTTGGCATTTCTGGCAGCTCTTCTTTTCTTTAGTTTTTCTTTGGCAGCCCAGGTGTACAGACACCCCAGATCTATTCAGGCTCCCACGCAGCAAACAAGACAACCAACCCCAGCAGCAGCAGCAGCAGCAGCAGCAGCAGCAGCAAAAGCCGCTGCTGCATCTCACTCCCCACCGCAGCAGCAGCACCGACTGCTTCTGCTGCGACGAGAGCATCAGCAACATCGAAAGAGCAGCCTCAGCAACAGCAACAGCAGCAGCAACAGCAGCAGCAGCAGCAGCAGCAGCAGCAGCAGCAGCAGCAGCACGGCCAATGCCGAGCAGCAACATCCACAACAATGGGGGCCCCCTCAGCTCTGCTGACTGCCCCTTGCCTCCAGCGCATTCTAATCCAGGGGGCCCCTCCAGCCGTCCTGGGGGCCCCTCGCAGCAGCAGGAAGGGGCCTCCCAGCAGCAGCAGCAGCAGCAGCAGCAGCAGCAGCAGCAGCAGCAACAGCCAGGGGGCCCCCGGGGGCCCCCTGCAACAAGTGGGGGGTTTCATAGAGAGGCAAGAGTGCCTCTGAGGCCCGTAGAGAATTTTCATTTGAGTAATAAGTCGAGACACAGACATCATCAGCCGCTGAAGCAAAAGCAGCAGCAGCAGCAGCAGCAGCAGCAGCAGCAACTGCAGCAGCAGCAAGGTGGCCATCATGACGAGAAAACGAAGGACGCAGAGCTAAAAGAGCAGCAGCAGCAGCAGCAGCAGGAAGAAGGTGGCACGAGGGTCAAGAGGAAGCAGAACGCAGCAACAATGAAGGCAGCAGCAGCAGCAGCAGCAGCAGCAGCGGGAACAGCTGCAAGTGAAGTACCAGCAGCAGCAGCTGCTGCTGCAGCAGCAGCAGCAGCAACAGCAGCAGCTGCAACCGCAAAGGGCCCACCCCCTCTTCTATCAACGACTAAGAAGCCCCGGAGGCGTCCAATGGCTGGGGGCCCCCCAGGGGGGCCCCCCCAAGGGGGGCCCCCAGGGGCCCCCCCAGGGGCGGCTTCAGGGGGCCCCCAGGGGGGCCCCCAGGGGGGTCTCCAGGGGGGCCCCCAAGGGGGCCCCCAAGGGGGCCCCCCGAATTACCCTTTTCGCGTAAGCCTTGCTGCTTATGGGCAATCTGGAGGCTCCCTGAAGGGCCCCCCTGGGGGCCCCCTAGGGGGCCCCCCAGGGGGCCCCCTTGGGGGCCCCCCAGGGGGCCCTGCGGTGACAGGGGCCCCTGGGGCTGCTGCTGCCTCGAGCAGCGAGGACGAGAGCGCTGAACCCGCTGCTGCAGCCGAAGTCCCTCTGGATCCCGCCACAGCAGCAGCAGCAGCAGCAGCAGCAGCAGCAGCAGCAGCAGCAGCAGCAGCAGCAGCAGCAGGGGAGAGCGGCGTGCCAGTGTCTCGGGCGCAAGCAGCAGACCCTGGGGCCCCCCTTCCTGCTGCTCCCCTGTCGATGCGTCCGCCTGCTGCGGGGCCCGCAGGGAGCCCCTCAGCAGCAGCAGCAGCAGCAGCAGCAGCAGCAGCAGCAGCAGCAGCAGCGGGGCCGCTGGTGGTGCTGGTGAAGGACGACGAGGAAATATGGAAAGAGTGGGAGGGTTTGAGGCTTTTGGGAGAAGGGGTTTACGGAAGGGTTTACTTGGTGAGAAATAGAAAAACAAAAGAGACTTTAGCATTTAAAAGAATGTACTTGCATGCGCGGAAGAGAGAGACTTTGTCGCAGCAGCAGCAGCTGCTGCTGCAGCAGCAGCCCGACGCAGCAGCAGCAGCAGCAGCGCGCGGCGGCGGAGCCCTCCCCGCTGTGCTGCAGCGCGAAGTCTCCGTGCTGCGGGCCCTCAAACCCTCGCCAAACGTTATACCCTTAATTAGGGTTTACGTTGGCAGCCACAGGGCCTACTTAGGGTTTCCGTTTGTCCAAGGGGGGACCCTTGCGGATTGTCTGCGCTGCTACGCCTCCTGGGCCGAGTACCTGCGCCTCGCCAGCAGCAGCAGCAGCAGCAGCAGCAGCAGCAGCAGCAGCAGCAGCAGCAGCAGCAGCAGCAGCAGCACAGCCAGCGAGTTGGGGTCCCCGCAGGAGGCCGCGTCGGGTTCGCTGTGCCCCTTAGCGACCTGCAGCTGCTTCTGCCTCTCGGAGCCCCCGCAGCAGCAGCAGCAGCAGCAGCAGCAGCAGCAGCAGCAGCAGCAGCAGGAGAGCTGGGTGTCTGCGGTTTGCTGCTGCCCCTGCGCGCGCTGCGTCCCCCCCTGCGGGCTGCCCCTGGGCCTTTGCATGCGCATTGCCTTCGCGCTGCTGCGGGGCCTTTTTGCTGCTCACAAAAGAAGAGTTTGCCACAGAGACATAAAGCCAGATAACATTCTCTTGGGCTGGCAGCAGCTGCCGCAGCAGCCAGCAGCAGCAGCAGCAGCAGCACGCAAACGCATGCGCAGCCTCCGGGGCCGCGCGCGCGCCCAGCAGCAGCAGCAGCAGCAGCAGGGGGAGCAGCAGGGGGAGCAGGGGGAGCGGGAACTGCTGCAGCAGCAGCAGCTGCAGCAGCTGCAGCAGCTGCTGCTGCTGCAGCAGCAGCAGGAAGCAGCAGCAGCAGAAGACGAACCCGAGGGGCCCCCCGACGAGGCCCCTGCGCCTCCGCCTTTGATCTCTTCTCTCTTCATTGCCGACTTCGGACTCGCCAGGACTTTGCCCTTCTTCACCAAAAGGGACTGCAGCAACAAAAACAGTACCCAGGACACGCAGGGGGCCTCGCAGGGGCTCGCCGCGGGGGGGGGCCCCGCGGGAGACCAGGGATCCCAGGGGGCCCTCGAAGGGGAGGGGGGGCCCCTGGGGGCCCCCCAGGGGGCCCCCCTGGGGGGCCCCCCCGGGTTCCCCCAGGGGAGAGGCGGCGCGCAGCGAGAGTTCGAGTGGAGGCGACAGTGAAGAGCTGGGGGGCCCCTGCGTGTCCCCCACTGCGTCTCTGCGGAAGGCGAGAGCAGCAGCAGCAGCAGCAGCAGCAGCAGCAGCAGCAGCAGCAGCAGCAGCAGGCGAGGGAGAGGGCTGCTGCAGCGACTCCGGGGCCCAGGCCATTTGTTTGTCCCCCGAAATAATAACTCTTAACTACAGACCTTTGGAAGTGCTGCTGGGCAGCAGCAGCTACACACTCGCCGTCGACATCTGGAGCGTGGGGTCCGTGCTGCTGCTGCTGCTGCTGCTGCTGCTGCTGCTGCTGCTGCTGCTGCTGCTGCTGCTGGCGCCGTTGTTGCTGCGGCTGGTGCTCACGCTGGTGGTAGTGCTTTTGTTTGTGGTGCTCCTTGCCCGGCGCTGCTCTCTGCTCCCGCTGCTGCTGCCGCCGCTGCTGCTGCTGCTGCTGCTGCTGCTGCTGCTGCTGCTGCTGCTGCTGCTGCTGCTGCAGGTGCGTGCTGGTGGAGTGCCTTTGCGGCAGCGAGTTGATAGAAGGCAGCTGCGAAGTGTCTTGCATTTTGCACATTTTGCAAACTTTCGGAACTCCCTCTGAAGAGGACTGGCCCGAGCTCCACAAACTCCCCTTCATGGTCCCCAAACCCTAAACCCTAAACCCTAAACCCTAAACCCTAAACCCTAAACCCTGAACCCTAGATCTTGGGGAGCGGGCGGGGCGTGGGCGCACAGGCTTTACTGCTGAGGGGCTGGGCTTTGCTGCAGCGGCAGCTGAGCTCCAGGGCCCGAGGCCCAGGGTTTAGGGTTTAGGGTTTAGGGTTTAGGGTTTAGGGTTTGCTGCAGAGTCGGCTGCTGCCCGTGTTCCCCGCAAGGCCTCTGGCCCTCGAACACTTCTTTGCAGAAAAGGGAAGACTTGATGTGCTCAGCAGCCCCCAGTGGATGGAGCTGCTCAACCAGTAAACCCTAAACCCTAAACCCTAAACCCTAAACCCTAAACCCTAAACCCTAAACCCTAAATTCTAGATCTTAGGGCGGTAGCCCGGTGCTGGGCAGCCCGCGTTTTAGAGAGTATTGCCGGGAGCCGCGGGGCGGAGCAGCTTCTGCGGGTTTTGGGGTTTAGGGTTTAGGGTTTAGGGTTTAGGGCTTGGGCTTGAGGGTTTAGGGTTTTTGTTCAGGCTGCTTCAAGTAAACCCTGATCGACGAATAAGTGCTGCTGAGGCTTTGGCGCTGCCGCTTTTTAAGGACTTGCCTCCTTCAGCTTATCTTTGACAAGGGTTTAGGGTTTAGGGTTTAGGGTTTAGGGTTTGGGATAAACGCACTCCAGTTTATCGTAACTGCATGGCTTTATTTTGGCTGCTTTCTTCCTTAACCCTAAACCCTAAACCCTAAACCCTAAACCCTAAACCCTTTTTGCGTCTTCTCCGGAAACGAAGCTGAAGTGCTACAATTGCCTCAGACACTGTCTGGTGGCTTGACTACATTTTAGGGTTTAGGGTTTAGGGTTTAGGGTTTACGTTTTATAGAATCAAAGAAAATGGCGAACGGGCTTCTCAATAGATGAAACTGAAACGGCCGCCCACAAAACCCTAAACCCTAAACCCTAAACCCTAAACCCTAAGTTCTAAACGCCAAGAGCAGCGAAAAAGAAAAAACAGAGAGAAAAAAGAACAAAAATTGAAGTCTAAAGAACAAAACGCGCAAGGGTTTAGGGTTTAGGGTTTAGGGTTTGGATTGAGGCCTACAGAAAAAACCCAAGTCCCCCAAACCCGCAGGGTCTGCTGAATTTTCGCTGAACTTCACGCTCTAGGGTTTAGGGTTTAGGGTTTAGGGTTTAGGGTTTAGGGTTTGGAAGCAACTTCAGTTGAGCTCCGAAGAGACAGCCACAGGGTCTCCTGGCAGCAGCGGGGCCTGAAAGAAAAATTGAAATTAAAATTAAAATTAAAATTAAAATTAAAATTAAAATTAAAATTAAATTAAAATTAAAATAAATAAATAAATTAAACCAAATAAATAAATAAATAAATGAATAAATAAATAAATAAATAAAACCAAATAAATAAATAAATAAATGAATAAATAAATAAATAAATAAATTAAATAAATAAATAAATAAATAAAAGTGCCACTTGCTGTTAATCTATTTACTTCTTCGCGTTTATCGATTCACTTGTTTATTTATTTATTTGTTATTTATTTATTTAGTTATTTGTTATTTATTTATTTAT